CTTTAAAAACATGCAAATCTATATGTGACAAAACTTCGAAAACGTATGCATTTCAGATTATTGTAGTGATGGGAATATGGGATCTATTAACTTTAAATTATACCTAAGAGTACAGCTTAGGTCAATTTTCTTTGAGAACCTAATTTTTCCAATTATCAATCTCTGTAAGCTTATATTTGTTAATAAGACAAATTCAGACAATTCTCAGGATATGGGAAGTGGGGTGAGGATGGGGGAGCACTTATAAGTACCATTTCTAACAGAAAAAGTTTTTGTCACTTAGGTAATTAATATCCATATGCTAATATTCTATAAACAAACTTGTATACAGTCTTCATTCCCAACAAGACTTGCCAGCTCTGCCTTGGAATTTGTGGAAGTCCCCAGAACCTAAAATTCAACTCCAGGTGGTAGGTAGTTTTCAACCACTGGGAATAAATGTGTGTAGTCATTGTGCGCCATCTTGTGGTGATGTTTAGAAATGCACCTATTAGGAATTGGGTTAGGGAACAAAGCAATTCCTTATCCCTTATTGCAAAACAAAAACCTACAAGGCATTTTCCCCTCGTCTTCCCATCCCCAAATCCTCTGATTCCCTAAATAAATTAAATGCATTATTTGGGGAGAGAATTAAGGTAGCTAGTATAACTAGGGAGGCGGGGTGGTTGAGAGATCAGGGTCTGGAATTAGACTACCTTAAGTTAGAATCTCAGATTTGCTATTTCTTATCCGGATAGTCTTGATTCTCTGGAATTAGACAAGGAGACAGAAAATATAAGAGATAAAGGGAAATCTAGGAGTCTGATAGCTGACTAATAAATGTTTCAGAAAGAGAGAGCAAACAAATCAGAAGAAATAATTTAAGAAAATTTTCTACACTTGGAGATACAGATCCGCACATCAAAAAGGCTTAGTCAGTGCTAATTAGGATGAATGAAAGAATATCTACAAAGGAGGAATAATTGCAACATTTCAGAACATCATGGATAAAGAGAAAATCATAAATGCTTCCAAGGAACAAGAATTGAAATTTTGTTAATCTTTATCAGTAGCACTGGATGGTAGAAGACAATAGACTTAAAGTTCAGGGAAAATGATTTTCAACCCTGTGTTCTATACCCAGCCAAACTATTAAGTGTGAAAGTAAAGTAATTTTAATACATTCAAGGATTTAGAAAGTTGAACTCACACACATCTTTTCTGAAGCAGTTGCTTGCGTATGAGCACAATATAACAAAGCAATTAACCAAAAAAGAAAATGTCAAAGAATCCAAGAATAGTGGATTCACTCAAGAAACTTAATGAAAGGAAGTTCAGGATGACAACTGTAGGAGAGGCCACATTACGTTAAGAGGAGGATGGAGGGCTCAAGAAGTATCTATGAGGAGGGAATAAATAGGTGGTGTCTCCATGTATTTATTTTTGTCTCTGAAATATTAAATACACTTAAAGAAATTTAAGATAGATAGTGCTAGACTAAAAGAAAGGCAGGAAAACTTCAGGGAAAATATAGCTGCTCAAGAAAGAAAAGCACTTCACTTGATTCAGTATTAATATTTTTATTTTTTGTATAGCTCTCAAATCAGCCCATTCTCTGACTCTACTACTGTCATCACTCTAGATTGAGTTACCATCATTTTTTTTGCCTAGACTCCTCTGGTAGCCTTTTTTCAAAATGCAAATTTAATTATGTTCCTTCCTTGATTAAATCACTATAGTGTCTTCCCCTAGCTCTTAGAATAAAAGATCCAAATCATTAACATCCCTACTAGGTTCCACACTGTCTCGTGGTCAGGCAGTTCCTAAGCAGCAGTGAGATGGCAGCTGCTAGGTAGTCTTGCCTCACCTCCATAGAATTGGCTGGTAAGGACACAAGAGACCTAAATGGATCTAGACAGTTTATTACTTACAGAGATGGCAAAACAAGATCAGCATGTTATCAGTTGCTTGCATTCCTAATCCCACAGGATAACACTGACCAGATAACACAAATAGTGGGTTGCTTTGTTTTTGAGGCATCAACTATAGGGTGCAACTAAGTGGTTTTATGGCCTGCATCTGTACCTTGGAAGAGGCAAGGTAGAAAGTCCAGTGCCTTACTGGAACCAGAGGCAGATGAGAAACTGCTTCATGGCAATGCCATGCAAGATAGGGAGCCTCTTACAAGCTAAGGAGGCAGATGAGAAATGGCTTTTAGCACCTCCTCACAAGACTGCCTATCTTGACATGTCCCAAAGAGTATCAGAGGGCATTCTATAAATAGTTAAGTCTTGGATATGGCCTATATAGAGACATGGAATTGCTAGGGTACCATGGTGGAGCCATTCTCCTACAAATATAGCCTGACCTTTCTCCACTAATTTCATCTTGTGTGCTCTCTCTTACTTGCTGAACATCAGCCACACTGACCTTTCAATTTCTCCGATACACCATGCTTTCCCTTGTCATAGATATTTTGCATATGCCATCCTCTCTGCCTGAGGTACTCTTTCTCCCGCCTCTTTGCCTTCTTAATTCCCATTCTTTCTTTAGTCTTCAACTCAGTTGTTGCTTCTTAGGGAAACCTTCCAAGACATTCCTAACTAGAACAGTGCATCCAATTATCACATAGCATTGTGCTCCTCTCCTTCATAGCATTCTAAACAATTTTAATTTTATAGTTACTTGTATAATCCTTAAGTAATAATAGTAAAGATAATACATGCTCTAATATATTATTTTATCACTTAATTTGAAAATGCTTTCACATACTTAATTTCATTTTATCTTTTCATCTCTGTGAGGTGAACAAAACAGGTATTATTTTTAATCTGTTTTTTACAGATAAGAGCCCATATTAAAACTTACGTTTTCTTACTTTAGTTTAAAGTGCTCTGTACTTCATCATGTGTTTCTCATGTGAATATATAAGGCAGCATGCAGTGAGTAAGAGGGACAAAGAAAATGCCATAGGGGCTTAAAGAAGAGAGAAATCATTTCAGATGGGGTGATAAGGATAGATCTCCATGATAGAGGTACCATTTAAGGTGGCCTTGAAAGTTGATCAGCTTCTGATAGACAAGTGAGCGGCTTCTAAGACAAGACGTAATATCAAAGGTACAATCATAGAAAGTCTTGAGACTTTGAGTAATGGCAAGCAAATGTGTTTTTGTTTTTAAAGATTTTATTTATTTATTTATTTATTTATTTATTTATTTATTTGACAGAGGAGAGGGGGAGAGAGAGAGAGTGTGTGCGCACAAGCAGGAGGAGAGGCAGGCAGAGGGAGAAGCAGACTCCCCACTGATCAGGGAGCCCAATGTGGGGCTCCATCCCAGGCTGAGATCATGACCTGAGCTGAAGGCAGACGCTTAACCCACTGAGCAACCCAGACGCCCCAAGCAAATGTGTTTTGATGGATTAGGGTTACTATGGGTACCAGAAAGGGAGGCTAGAATTATATTGTGGAGGACTTTAAATATGAAATTAATTTGCTGGCACGGGAAGTAACTAACATTTCTAAGTGGGCAAATGATCTGACCAGAGTTGAACTTTAGGAGGACTAATTAAACAGCATGTAGAATAAATTGTGCATGATAGGACTTGACAAGGAGACCAGGTAACTGAGATGAAATTATGAGCTAGGGCAAAAGACCACAGCTCTCGTAGAGCTGTGGGTTATCTCTGGGGGTTGGGAGAAGCTTATTTATAGGATTTTAGCTTGTGCTGGTGATTCTTAGCAGGGTTTAGGGAGGGCAGAGGTCAGTTCTAGATTGGATACTTTAAAAAAGTGAAGTATTGGGTATTTTGGTGTATCTTATCTTGGAGATGGGAAGATTAAGGAAATAGTAGTCATTTGTGTTAACCAGAAGAGGGGGATGTTTAGTTATTTTTGTGGTTCTTGAATGTCCTTTCCTCAAGTTTCAGAAATAATTACACAGTAGTCTTATTTCGATCTTTACTACAGTCACAGAATGGCCTTACTGAGTGTTGTTTATATTCTACCAAAGTTGTTTATATTCACTTGGGAACACTGTGGTTCATCCTGTCAGCTTCCAGCTGCCAGGGATGTTTCATTACTTTATCACTACCCAATACATTGATCTGCTTAGCCCCTAAGGCATCTAGCCAGTTGCCTCATAGGGTGAGCATACTATACTGTTTACTCCAGGTGCTATACAAATATTATTGTTATCTAAATGTGCCATGTCTTGAAAAGAGTTGACTGAGCAACAGCACTGAAAATGAAGACTAAAGGACCAAAAAAGGTTATAAAGGTTTTCAAAGCTCTTCACTATCTCCAACATTTCTAGTTCACTTAAAATCTACGCTCCAACAAAAATCAACTTATTTCTATTTCTACAGCTTATGGTTTGCTGTCTTTGAGTATATGCCCTCTACCTGGACCATCATGTCCAGATCCTATCTGTCAGTTTAGATGTCTCTCCCTTCCCCCATGTTACTAAGATCAAGAAAAAGTCTACTTAAAATATTATGAATGAAGAATAAATTATGTATTTGGATATTCTAGCTTGGGGGGTCAAGCTGGAAGCAATCTCTTTTTCCTGTGAATTCATATAGTAAATTTCTTATACCCCTAAAACACATATTTCTAATGTTTATTAAATATGTATGGTGTCCTAAGTGCTAGAAACTATCACTGATACCATCAAAATGCTGTGATGTTTGCTTCTTTCCAGGTTCTTCTTAAGTGTAAGTATAAAGCAGCAGAGAAGTTTCTTACTCTTACCTCATTCAAGATAAGAGTTACTGATATTCTGTGGTATTTGGCTCTATGTCAGAGAGGTGAAGAGAAGCTTATAGGTGGGTCGATGCTCCTTGTGAAGAGCTGGGATTGGGCTAATAGCTGGACAGGGACTAGCTGTTGTCAGAAATATCATTTTAAAAATTACATATTAAATAGGCTAACATTTGAGGAAGTGAAAATCATAACTTTTTGTACTGTATGAAAGGAAATAAACTGTAGTAAAAATAGGTTTGTTTTTCTTATATTAATTTAGGAATGATTGCTTGCAAAAAACCTGGGAACCGAGAATGTAATCATCACTGTAAAAATAAACATACATGTGGACATGACTGCTGTGAGTTCCATAAAAGAAGTTTATTTCAGGTCTTAAAAATTGAAAGGCCTTTGAATAGTAATGACATCCTAATTACCTACGTATGATATTTATGTTATGCAGTTTATAACTCAAATAATTTTCTTTCTTTGTGGGTAACATGAAAAAAATTAGATTAGAAATTATGAAGATCTACCCCTGAAACTGATAATACTATATGTTAACTAAATTGAATTTAAATAAAAAATTCAAAAAAAAAGAAATTATGAAGAAATTTGGCTTTACATGAACACTACCTAAAGTTTCACTTAAAAAGCGAGAATTTCTTTTCATAGGTAAAACTGGAGTTGCACAAAAGTCAGAAATGAAAGAGCCAACAATCTCTTCATATTTATCCGATTTAAGAAACAGGAATGCTGTTTCATCACTTCCTCCAGTTAAACGTCTCAAGGTTAGTTTTAATAACATTTAGCCCTTGTTCTGTAATCTAATGTATATGAATATTCCTTTATTCTGTGTATTAGTTAGGTATCCGAAGTGAACTTTAGTTACTTGAGGGCTTGCCTAGGAGTATGGCCATTTTCCAAAATGTTGTTTCTAAAGGAAAAGATACTGTAGTTCTTTTTTTTTTAAAGATTTTATTTATTTATTTGAGAGAGAGTGAGAAAGAGCATGAGTAGGGGAGGGGCAGAGGGAAAAGGAGAAGCAGACTCCCCACTGAGCAGGGAGCCCTACATGGGGCTCAATCCCAGGACCCTGGGATCACAACCTCAGCTGAAGGCAGCCACTTAACCGACTGAGCCACCCAGGTGCTCCAAGATATTGTAGTTCTTAGTAATTAGTCTGTAAATCTACTTTTGGGACATAGTTCTACAGCCCCTTATTAGTCTTTTTTTTTTTTTTTTAACGAAAGAAGAAGGAAATGGAGAGGGATATGTAGTTTGGCTTGGTTCGGCAATTAAAACTACGCACGCTTGCCCTTTCCTGGTTCTGTCTGTACTGGAGTGGTATGGAGAGTCTAAAGTTGATTTTGATTCATGTACCTAGATGAGTACTGAGCAAGAGGCTCCTTTCCAAGTCATGAAGGAATGGTTGTTCCTACCTTGATTAGCTGGTCACTAGCAGACTTATTCTAAGCCTATGTTATCATATCCAGGGCAAAATAAATGATCAGGCCACAGAAAAGAGGCAAGAAAATGGCAGTGTCTGCTTCTTTTCTAGGACTTTAGTAAGAATGAAGATTTTAAGTCATGAGGCTAAAACAAGGGGGATACTGGGAAACGAAGAGGTATGCACATTAAAACAGCCACCACCTTCTCTGAGATAATATTTTTTTAGTAGCCCAAGTTCTTCCTCCTCCCCCCTTCCTTTCTTTCATCCTTCCTTCCTTCTTTCCTTCTCCATTCTGTATTATTCCCTCTATCCTTCCATATTCATTTTTTTTTAAGTTTATTTAATTGGGGCAACTGGGTGGCTCAGTCAGTTAAGTGTCCGACTCTTGATTTTGGCTAAGGTCATGATCTCAGGGTTGTGAGATGGAGCCCCATGTTGGGCTCCATGCTGAGTGTGGAGCCTGCTTAAGATTCTTTCTCTCCCTCACTCTGTGCCCCTTCCCTCCCTTTCTCTCTCTCCCTCTCTTACTTTTTTTCTTTTTAAAGATTTTATTTATTTATTTGACAGAGAGAGAGAGAGCAAAAGCAGGGGGAGCGGCAGGCAGAGGGAGAGGGAGAAGCAGGCTACCCGCGGAGCAGGGAGCCAGATGTGGGGCTCGATACCAGGATCCTGAGATCATGACCTGAGCCGAAGGCAGATGCCCAACTGACTGAGCCACCCAGGTGCCCCTCTCTCCCTCTCTTAAAAAAAGAAAGTTACTATTTTTAGTAATCTGTACACCCAAAGTAGGGCTCAAACCCACAACCCTGAGATCAAAAGTCTCATGCTCTTCCAACTGAGCCAACTGAGTACCCCCCTTCCATATTCATTGAGCACCAGCAATATGCTAAGTACTGTGATAGGTGCTAAGATACAGCAGTGAATAAGACAGTTTTAGTCCCAATCCTCATACAGCTTATAGTTGGGTGAAGGATACAAATAACTAAATAGGCTTTTTCAATGTAGTATGATAGAGGATTCTGTGACAGAGGTGTAAGATGACTTGAACTTGGGTAGAAAGTGTACTCAGTCCACATTTGATAGGCCAGGAAAGGATTCCAAATAATCATGATTGAGACTTGAAGGATATCTAGGCATAAGCCAGGTATGGAGAGGTAGGCACTAGAGTAGTGGTGGAGACGGATAGAAAAGTATTCCAGACATAGAAAATATGAAGTGGTATAGAACTGAGAAAGAGAGAGAGCTTTTAAAACATTGAAGTTATACAGTGTGTCTGGAGTTCAATCACAAGTAAGGGAGTAGAGAGAGATGAGGCTGAAAAGGTAAGTAAGAGCTAGATAATGAAGGCCTTTTTGGTATTTTAAGGATTTAGACTTTATCCTGAAAGTATTGGGAAGCCACTGAAGAGCTTTAATCAGTGACATGATCAGAATTGCATTTTCTCAAGTTCACTCTGGATGCAATGTAGAGAATGGATTAGAGGATGATAGAAAAGGAACATAAGGACTCATTAGGTGGGTTTTACAATAATCCAGGCAAGATGATGGTCTAGTTTAATGTAGTAGCAGTAGCAGTGGAGGGAAGTGGCTAGGTTTAAGACATTTTTCAGAGATAGAATCAACTACCCTGGTACTTAATTGCTTATGAAGGGTGAAGTAAAAGGAGTAAAGATGATGACCAGCTTTCTGAACTGAGCAAGTAGGAAAAAAGTGAGGCCTCACTAGGGTGGAAACTCCAAAGGAAAAGCAAGTTTGGAGAAGTAAATACACAATAAGTTCAATCTGGAAAATACTGAATTTAGAAGCCTGCAAGATACCTAGGTAAAGATGTTCCACAGACAGTTGGATTAACTCTGAAAATCAGGAAGAGGATCTGAATTAGAAATATAGATTTGAGAGTCATTCACTTGTAGATGATAATTGAAGCCATGGAAGTAAATAAGATCTTTAAAAATGTGTAGAGGGAAAAGAGAAAAAGGCCTAGTAAAGAACCATGAAGAATCTCAACATTTAAGAAGTGCCTGAGAAGGAGATTTGATTTGAGAACTAGCCTGAGTTTCTCATAATCCATTGGTTTTGGGACTTCGTGTACCAGCAGGGATTTTGTTGTTTGGTTTGTTTGTTAAAAAGTGTTGCTGTGAAGTAGACAGTTGAACTGTTTTTCTCGTTAATAGATGCAAATGAATAAATCTCGAAGTGTGGACCTTAAAGAATTTGGTTTTACTCCAAAACCTTCTCTTCCCAGTATATCAAGGTACAGTATAATGTTAATATCCAAGGTAGAATAGTCATCATAAACTCTTTGCTCCTCCAAATAATCATTTATTCAGAGAAAGGTGAACACTGGCTACATTCAAATCATAGTAATCATTTAGTTCCATAATGAAGTAATAATATCATAAGAGTTTGGTTATCTAAATTTATTTAGAACTCTACAGTTATAGAATATTTTAACATTCACTGAATCATCTCTTTCTGGGAAACTACCCATCCTATATGTCATGACCTCAGGCTTTCTCTGCCTTCTAAATTTAACAGGTGACAAAAGGATACTTTAAAAGAAAAGTATACTTTGAAAAGAAAAATCATGTTGCTGTACAAAGTCTAATCTTTTCCATTTAGGGGCCCACTCTATTAATAACACTTCATATTTATAAAATAATTTACATTTTAAAAATTGCACATTTGTGTATTATCTCTTTTGACCTTAACCACAACCTGGATCATAAAATGAGGTATTTCTATCCCATTTTATAGATAAAATAATCGAAGCTCATATTCCTAGTTATTAAGCAGAAGGCCCTAAATGATAACTCAGCATTCTTTTCCTATACCATGATGCCTAGAAGGTAATAGTATATGTCATTTCCCTTCCGGATAACGGTATTCTATATGCAGGGATGACATTTAATATACTTAACAAACAGTACAGAGCAGCCACTGACCAATCAGAACAGATGCCAACACTACTTCAAGAGATCCTAGCTTTTGTTATCTAATTGAAAGTAGCATTAGCAATAGATTTTTAAGGCTATACACAGATAGCAGATAACTACATATTTGGGTCATGTATAGATGACTAAGTATCTTGCTTCCAATAAACACCTATTTTTTTACCCTTTACTACCCTAGGCTAATGCATTTTATCATAGAAGTGTTGAGAAGATGAACCCTTTCTTTTTTATTTATATGAGTAAGTGGTTTTCAAATTCAGATTAGTTTTAATATTTAATATTTTATGGTTTTATTTATCTTTATGAAGGTCAGAGTGTTTAAACATACCTGAATTGTCTATAATGGAGCAGAGGGATCAGCGTGAAATCAGTGCAAAAGTTCAACAAGAACCATCAGAATATCAAGACAAAGGTGAATTACTATTGATATTGCCTTGAAAGAGAAAATGGTTTATCATTACTTCAGAATGACAATGTTATTGAAAAACCAACATCTGAAATTACTATGATTATTAACTTGCAACATTTTTCTCCTGGGTTATTGGGCCAATTTCAAATTCTTAAGTCTGTTATTTCAGATGGACTTACTATGTTTGTCACCTAGATTTTTTTTAAAAGTCTCTTCCCTACATTGTGTTGACTATTTTTGTTTAAAGATAATATGAGGAAAAATTGAGAAAATAAGGGACCTGGAGATATATAAAGTATTAAAATGCTGAACTATTACTTTTATATGTCTTTAAAATTATTTAAAATAATTTTATGTTTATAAAATTTGTCTAGTTTTACAAAACAGCTGTGTGATCTTGGAAAAATTATTTAACTTCTTTAGGTCTTAGTCTTATCTATAAAATTAGGGGATTAAATTAGGTTACCTTTAATACCTCCCCAGTTTCTAATATGGTTCTTACAAGTTCCTCTGATAATATGAGAATATAACCTAATTTGTGGGATATAGCTCATATGTAATCTAGATTTGCTTTTATCTGTGTCAATCACTTAATTAATGAGATAAAGCATATAATTCTTCAACACTGGGACCAGGTCATCATTCTCCGGATCCTGTTATTACTAGCATCATTTGTCTGGGTCATGCCATTAATAGCCAGTCTGTTAAAATGTGTGAGAAATAATCCTGGCCATAGAATTGTTTGTTTCTGTTGCTGTATGTAGAAATGGTAAACTTGGGGTTTTCCACAAATAATTTCATGTGTGTGGCCTTAGCACTGACAACTCTTTCCTTCATTCTGTCACTTTATGCTTCCTCTAGCCATAATTTAAGATCTTAAGTAGGCAAGGGCTGGAGTACCCACGACCTCTTAGGCCCAAATAAGAACAAGAAAAGTCCCCTAATCTCACTTAGAGTATCAGAGCATTTATCCAACTTGCCCAAAGTCTGATATCATTACAACGTGGAGAGAAGTGTTAGAATTTTCAACTCCTTAATTTTTATCTCTCTTCAACCTGTAGCCCTCTAACTTACTCCTTGTTCTGCTGCTTTATTCCCTGCCCTTCTACATACCACAGTTTATTCCTCTGCTTACTTTCATGCTGTCTTTTTTTTTTTTTTTTAAGATTTTACTTATTTGAGAGAGAGAAACAGAGATAGCGAGAGAGTGAGAGCACAAGTGGGGAGGAGAGAGAGAAGCAGGCTCCCTACTGAGCAGGGAGCCTGATGCGGGGCTTGATGCGGGGCTTGATGTGGGGCTTGATGCAGGGCTCAATGTGGGGCTTGATCCCAGGACCCTGGGATCATGATCTGAGTTGAAGGCAGACGCTTAACTGAGCCACCCAGGCGCCCCCTTTCATGCTGACTTTACATAGTTTTCCTACTTTTATTTCTTTCCTATCCCCTATTCCAAATCCAATTTATATTTTGATATTAAAGTCTCATCTAGATACTTTAACCCCCAATGATAATTGTATCCCTGTTTTACTGAAAATGAGTCACTTTTTTTTTTTGAAGAAGAAGAAGCTGTGTAGTAAGTAGTTAAATTCACAGGATCTAGAATAATCTGTTTGGGGTGCCTAGCTGGCTCAGTTGGTAGAGCATGTAACTCTTGATCTCAGGGTTGTGAGTTCAAGGCCCATGTTGGGCTGGGAGGTTACTAAAAAAAAATGCTTAGAGTAATCTGTCTAGGCTCAAATTCTAGCCATTTAGTAGTTGTGTCACCTTTTGTAATGTATCTACCCACTTTATCTCAATTCCCTCATCTGCTTATGTATTAGGGATTTTAGTATTAAATGTGATAATATACATAAAGCTCTTAGCATAGTATCTGGTACTATTATTAGTAGCAATCGAGTATATTCATTATACTTTTCACACATTAGTTTTTGGTGGCAAAACATACTTTGTTTGTATTCAAATATTGCTCTAGAGAATGTTTTAAGAAAAACATGCCAATTTTTATCATCTGTATTCCAATTTCAAGAAAGGAAAAAGAAGAAAAAAAGAAAAAATATCAGAAATTATATGAGAAAGTATGTTGAATCATAAAATTTAAATTGTAAGGGACCTTTGTGCAATTTCTCATTTTATAGTGAAAGAAACCAAGACTCTGAGAGATTAAATGACTCACCTAAAATCACATATCTAATTAATGGCAGGGCCAGAAATAGATTCTATATCTCCTGATTCCCAGTTCAGTGCCATTTCTATAAAATGAAATTGACTTTTAGTTATCAGTAGAGAATTGAAAATCGAACCTATATGAACTCTTTCAATTTTCTACCCCACAACTATATATTTCTGTCTCTGCATCTTTCCTTAAAGAAGAATTCTCTTTTCTTCTATTCAAGATTTATCTCTCCACCTATAGTTTTAATGTTTCTAATCCTGCCTCCCTTGGGGCTTTAGGAGACCAATTACCCCTCTCCTCTTTTCCATATTTTCAATCTCTCCTCCCTATTTCTCTTTCAACATATAATTATGCTCAAGTCTCTTCCCTCTTCAGCTCCCTATCCTCATCAAGATAGTCATGACCGTTTGGGTTGTAAGTGACAGAAATTCTACTCAAAGTGACTTAATCACACAAAAAAGGAGACCATTCATGTAAACTTATAAGTCCAGACATGCGTCTGGCTTTTATCTTGCTAGATCCAGATACTCAAATAATTTCAGTCATACCTCTGGCTTTGTCTCAGTCTTTTAGCTATGCCTGTTACTAATTGGCTTTATTCACATCTTCCCAATTGAACAGTCTCAGTAGAAATACAGTCTTCCCTGTTAGCTTTGGCAGAGCAGAGTTCATCCTAAATGGCCTCAGTTGAGTCTTGTATTCATCCCTCCATTAAACCCTGTAACCTGGGGAATGGGTCATGCATTCCTCTGCTGTAGCCCTGGAGGCTAGGGTACCATGAATGACATCCTCACCAGGGTCACATGGAATGGGTAGAGGCAGTTTCCCCAAAGGACAGGAAAGATATTCCTATTAAAAGAAGGGAAAATATGTCAGGCAAAGAACAGAATCACAGAGTCTTTATATACTTTAATGTCTTACTCTCCCATCAAAACAAAAATTCTTCAAAGGGCAGTTTATACTCACTGTGCTCATGGCCTTACCTCCTAGTCATTTTTTCATTCACTAAACTTTGGGTTCTTACTCCTTTGAAACTGCTTTTGCTTAGACCATTTAGTGATCTCCTAAGTACTGAATTCAGTGAACTCTTTTCAACTTTTATTTTCTTTGACCATTGTAGTATTTGACACATCTGGTATTTCCCTCCTTTTGGAAATCTCTCCTTTGGTTTCAATTAAACCATTCTGTTGGTTCTCCTACTACTTCTTGAATTGCTTGGGCTTTTTTTCCTGTTGATATTGCAAAAGAATTCTTTTTTGCTTCTTTATTCTTCTCACTTTATAAACTTTTCTTTTATAATGTCACCCAAGTCCATGTCTACAATTACTACATCTGCATTTGCCATCTGTTTTTTTCTGTCTAGCCCCTGACCCATTTATACAGTCACCTTTCTGGATATATCCACCTAAAAGTTAATATATCAGCATTTGAACTCTTTCTATCTTCTCTGTATCTCACACTGCTCCTTTTCTTTTCTCCTTAGGTCAGTGAATGAACCCTCTTCTTTTCCAAACTACTAAAGGCAGGAAAAGAGTCATCCTATTTATCTTAACTTACATGCAAGTAATTGCCAAGTCCTATCTGTTTTGCCTCCTAAGCATCTCTTATATCTGTTCTTCTCTGTCCCTTCTGCTGATGCTCTAGCTCAGACATTCATTGTCTCTCATTTATTGCAATAGCTGTCTTACTTTTCTCTTTGCTTCCAGTCTCATTATCATCCCATCCATAACTATTCTGGGGAATCTAACAGGTATCTTTGATCATGTAAACCTCTTGCTAAAATATCTTCAGTAGTTATCCATTGCCTATAAGGGGGGAAAAAAAGCGAATTCCTTAACATGGAAATTAAGCATCAACATAATCTGGCACTTAACTTCCTGTGCAGGCTCAATGAGCCCTTCTTCTCCTGCTTTGTGCTCCAGAAATCCTGAAAACATATAGTTCTCCAAACATTCTCTGGTCTCCCATACTGCCATGTCTTTCACATCCTGTCCTCCTCTCATGGAGTATCTTGCCTTTCCCCTTGCCCTGCTCCACAGTCACCGTTCTACCAAGCTCAAATTCCAATGTTACCTTCTTACCATTTTACCATCTTAGAGCTGTCCATTTGGACTTCCATTGTAGGTTTAGGTCCTGTTCCCTTTGCATTCCCATTACACTTTGTACCTGCTTCTGTTTTTAGTATATATAATGTGTATATATCAATGAACAAAAGTAGAATAATATGAACTGGAGTTGTAGGTATAATTGAAGGATAAAGTACGATCTGGCTAGGTGAAGAAAAGTACAGAGAATATTTTAAATGAAAGAAACTCAGTGGTACACCTGGAGCAAGCTTGTGCTGACTTGTGAGAGATGATTATTAAATTCTTGGTAATCTTTCAGCCATTATTAAAAGTTTAATTATGTAAACTTTCAATTAAATAATTAAAAACAAAGACTAAATATTCAAAACTAATCACTTCCTAATTGTTCTACTACATATTACTGTTATCTGTGTTCTTGAGATTATTTGCCTTTTTATTTGTATCTATATGGTGGAAATGCTATATAATGGTGTGCTACTATGCATTTCTTCTCAACTTCGTGTTCAGAGATGTCACACTGGTAGCTTGAAATTAATCATAATGGGAATATTTATACCATGGAAATCAGCAAACACTGCATATTAGGACTTGATTTATTGCTTAGACTTATGAAAGTGATGGAAAAATGTTAATAGTGCAGATTAAATTTAACAGTATATTGTGCCTATAGCTATTACATTGTGAATAGCACAAAAAGCTGAGGGAATATTCTTCTAGTATTTGAAAACTATTGTCTAATTTAGCAAAGGAGTTGCCTAATGAACGAGTCAAGTCCCAATATCTTTCTGTGTTATTTTACTTTCATCTTAGTTGTTACAGTCAACAAGAATATCAAGCAACATTCATGTGAGAACTATATTCATTTGTTAATTGCAACCATAGGTTGGCTACAGATACAAGAGTTTGGCAAAACTCAATGGAAACATTTGGTGAAAATCAAATATATGGAATTTACAATTAAGCATGCTATATATTTTATTATTATTTGTAAATTGTGTGCTACATATCCTTTACCTATAATAAATACATATAATAAATGCAAGTATATATATGCATACATTTTTTGGAGAAGCAGTTATTAAACATTTATTAGCACACTACTATGGAAAACTGCAAAACTAAAGGCATGTATTCCCTCTAACAATCTTAGGAAGTAGATACTATTATTATTCTCATTTTGCAGAGGAGAAAACGAGGCTCAGAGACTTTAAATTAACTTGTCTAAGATCATACAACTAGTAATTGAGAGAAGTAGAATTTTCACCCCAGTAGTCTGGTCCTAAGCCCAGGCTATAAACAATGGATAACACTGAGGATTTTTTAGCAGGGAGAAGAGCTGGAAGAAGGAAGGCCATTTTAGAAATTATAAAATTCATTTTAGAGTAAAGTTATTCTCATATAGGAATTAAGAGGGAAAATTAATTATCTCTAAAAGAATCCACTGAAAATTAGATTTAATGCAACTATCAATATATGTAATACAGTAAATAGAATTGGTTGAAAACAATATTCAACAATGCTTGACCCAATACTTTGAAAACTACTATTCAAACTTCAGTTTAGTAGTTGAAAGATGTATTTGATATATCAATGGAAAATGATGTTAATGATTTAAAAAGTACCTTCCTCTTTTATACATACACATGACAGATTTCTCTAGATGGAACTATCCTACAACTTCAGATGAGAAAGCCCCTCAAACAGTGCTATTCAACAGACATCTTAATGCATCTGGAAACCAGAATTTGACAGATATGGATAAAAATAATGCTTCATTCTCAGAAGTTTTGAATGTGAACTTTGAATTGGGAGATGAAATTTGGGATGATTTTGATGATGAGAACTTATTAGAAGTGACCAGTTTTTCAGCCAGTACTGAGAAGACAAAAAGATCAGGTAAAATTGTCTATTAGCATGAAATAATTTCATGAGAAATTCTTTGAATATTTTTCAGTTCAGTTTCTGGGACTAATTTTCTTTGCCTTTTTTATGTGTTTGCTTAATTAGCTTTGGTTTGTTAAGACTGTGATTTTTTAGCAAAACTGAAAATGTGACCCTTCCATAAATCACATTTCCTCCTAAGGACAGAGGTCAAGGTTATTCCATTATAATGATACAGTATATGACCTTTTTCTCTTCTATTGCTCCCCTATCTTTTTAAAAACTCTATTTAAATAAAAAATGTTTATTGAATTTTCCCTCATAAAACAGACTATCCAGCTTTCAATTCTGTGATCACAGATAATTTGCTTATGTTTGTGAAGGACAAAATTATTCCATTTTTTTTTTAAAGATTTTATTTATTTGAGAGAGAGAGAAAGAGAGTGCATGCATGTGCATGAGTGAGGGAGGAGCAGAGGGAGAGGGACAAGCAGACTCTGCAGTGAGCACAGAGCCCCACACAGGGCTTGATCCCATGACCCTGAGATCATGAGCTGAGCCAAAATCAAGAGTTGGATGCCCAAACAACTGAGCCACCCAGGCGTCCCTAAAATTACTCCCATTTTTAAAAAAGTATTCATCTGCTATCAGGAAAATGAAAGATACCTTTTATTTCTCATAGACATATTGATTTTTTTTCAGGCATAAATAAACAATAGGAAAGGATTAGTTTCTATACTAGATATCATATTTAAGTCATTTACAACCCCAAAATAATGGGACTTAGTTTCTGAATTACTGGCAGATTTAATCTATGTCATTAAAACAGAAAACTAGGGCGCCTGGGTGGCTCAGTTGGTTAAGCAACTGCCTTTGGCTCACGTCATGATCCTGGAGTCTCTGGATCGAGTCCCGCATCGGGCTCCCTGCTCGGCAGGGAGTCTGCTTCTCCCTCTGACCCTCCCCCCTCTCATGTGCTCTCTCTCATTCTCTCTCTCTCAAATAAATAAATAAAATCTTTAAAAAAAATAAAAATAAAAATAAAAAAATAAAACAAAACTAAAATCTTGCTAAGTATATGAGAAGACAGCAAATTGGAGATACTCTGTCCCATGATGGCTGACAGGAGGAAATCAGTACCTCAGAATTATAGTTACCTCTTAATATATCCCACCCCAATGCTCTTTTAAAAAATCTTTTTAAAGGAAGCAATTAGAAGTTGAAATATTATTGTTTCAGGATTCTAAGAAATACCTAAAGAGCTATTATTTCTTCCAGAAGGAATAGGATTTGACCACCTTCACAAAGTAGGCCAGGAAATCTATGATGTGGAGTCAGTAAGCACAATTTCCTATGTCAATGGACAGCTACTAGTCCCTACCTCAAAGTTAAAAGTCATTGGGTATAGCAATTTAAGAGGCAGTTTGTACTGATTCTTTGAGGTAACCTAATCTGTTTCCTGGCATTTAATTTCAAAATGTTATCTCTTTACATAGGATTTGGAAACACTTTGTGTTCAAGTACCAGGGGAAGTAAGATATTCCTCCAAGAGTCAAAGAGCAAATTCCAAGGAGAAATGGCAAAAAGGCAAGTTTTAGAATTTTGGTTTGGAACACTTTACAACTATATATCCTCCTGACACATAATTGGAGATGGGGATTAAATTATTAGATGTCAAAGAAGCTATAAGGTATTAGCCAACCTGAACCTTCTTATTTTTAGAGCTGTGTTTCTTAAAGTGCTATTAACAGACCACCTACTTCAAAAGTATTAAAATGTATTAAAAATGCACATTCCTGGGCCCTACACTAGACTTACCAAATCATGGTCTCTGGGGCTGGAGCCCAGCAATTTGTACTTTTCAAAAAACTTGAAAACTGAATAGGAGATTGACAGGTAGAAAAAGGAGGATAAGGCATTCCAGGTAGAAGAAGCATGTGTAAAGGTATAAGGCTTGAAAAGGCATCTCATGCTCAAGGGTCAGTAAAGCATCAATATGGCCACAGCATTAAGGCTGAGTGCTGAGGTCTGATTCTAAAGAGCCTCGAATATTGTATTTAGACAACTTTGCCATATCCAGTAGGTAAGGGTTACAAACTCAAACTGCCTTCAGGATTTGGTGAGCCAAAGCCAACTGAAGAGTGTCCCATATAAAAGGCACAACTGTGGAGATACCACAATTCCAAATTTCAAGATATACTACAAAGCTATAGTAATCAAAATAGTATGGTACTGGCACAAAAATAGACACTGGACCACTTTTTTACATCATACACAAAAATAAAATGGATTAAAGACCTAAGTATAAGACTTGAAACCATAAAACTCCTAAAAGAACATATAGGGAGTAATCTCTTTGACATCGATTTTAGCAGCATGTTTATGGATATGTCTCCTGAGGCAAGGGAAACAAAAACAAAAATAAACTATTTGGGACCAGACCAAAATAAAAAGCTTTTGCACAGCAAAGGACACCATGAACAAAACAAAAAGACAACCTACTGAATGGGAGAAGCTATTTGCAAATAATATATCCAATAAGGGGTTAATATCCAAAATATATAAAGAATTTATACAACATACACCATAAAACCAATTTGATTAAAAAATGGACAGAGGGCCTAAATAAACATTTTTCCAAAGAAGACATAGAGATGGCCAACGGACACATGAAAATATGCTCAACATCACTAATTATCAGGGAAATGCAAATCGAAACCATGAGATATTACTTCGTGCAAGTCAGAATGGCTGATTTCAAAAAGACAAGAAATAGTGTTAGTGAGACTGTAGAGAGAAGGGAACACTCGTACACTGTGGGTGGGAATGTAAATTGGTGCAACCACTGTGGAAGACAGTATGGTGTTTCATCAGAAAATTAGAAGTGGAACAATCCAGTAATTCCACTACTGGGTATTTATCCAAAGAAAACAAAAACACTAATTTGAAAAGATGTATGCACCCCTGTGTTTTTGCAGCATTATTTACAATAGCCAAGATATGGAAGCAATCCAAGTTGTGGGTAGCAATAGATGAATGACTAAAGAAGATGTGAGATATTTGTATATCTATAATACTACTCAGCCATAAAAAAGAATGAAATCTTGCCATTTGCAACAACATAGGTGGATCTAGAGGGTATTATGCTAAGTGAAATAAGTCAGACGTGATTTCACTTAGATGTGAAATCTAAAAACAACAAAACAAATGAACAAACAAACACAAAAACAGACTCTTAAATACAGAGAACAAACTGATGGTTACCAGAGGAGTGGTGGGTGGCAAAATATATAAAGGGGATTAAGATGTACAAACTTCCACTTAGAAAATAAATGTCATAGGGTTGAAAATTACAGCATGGGGAATATAGTCAATAATATTGTAATGACATTGCATGGTGACAAATGGTGACTAACTACACTTATTGTGGTGAGCATTGAGTAATGTATAAAATTGTTGAATCAGTAAGTTGTACACCTGAAGTTAATATAACATTGTATGTCAATTATACTTCAATAATAAAAAGTAAAATAAAAATAAATAAAAGAATCAACCGCTACTCAGCTCTAACCAGTTGTTGCTGTGTAGGAAATAAGTGTCTAGCGTTGTCAAATATTCTGATTTTCAAAAAAAAGCTAGGAATCTAGAATTTGATGTGACATCTCCTGACTTTTAAATTTTAAGACCTAATTTTTTAAAATGTGATAAAATTGGGCATCTGGGTGGCTCAGTCGGTTAAGCGTCTGCCTTCAGCTCAGGTCATGATCCCAGAGTCCTGGGCTCGAATCCCACATAGGGCTCCTTGCTCACCAGGGAGTCTGCTTCTCCCTCTGCCCCTCCCCCCACTGGTGCGCTCTCACTCTCTCGCTCTCTCAAAAAAACAAATATTTTAGTATATGTGCTGCCGAAGCGAGCACTCGCAAAGATAAATAAATAAAATAAAATAAAATGTGATATAATCTATAGCCCCCCTCCAGCTGTAGCCTAGTTTTTAATGTCCATGTAAGCAGTAGGAAGCTTTCCAGGATACTTAAGCACAGGATAAACAATTTGATAAGACAAAAATTATTCTAGTGATTTGTAGATGATATATACTGATATGATATGATATGATATATAGAATGAGTTGCAGAAGGTGGGACAATGAGAGGCATGGTGGCCAGTACGAGAGGCAGGCTATGGTGAGGCCTAAACTAGAGCAGAGGTGTTGGAAACTGAGAAGTAGAGTTGGATTTTTGAAACATTTCATAGCACATACTAGATTTAGCAACTGATAGGATACAGTAGGTGAGGAAGAGAGAAAAATACATGGCAAGTGGGTAAATGAAGATGTTATCTGAGAATATAGGACACATAGACATTTGGAAAAGAAAATAGTAATTTAAAAAACGTTCAACTTCAGGTGCCTGTTTGGCTCAATCGGTAGAGCATGCAACTCTTGATCTCAGGGTTGTGAGTTCAAGCCCCGCGCTGGGAGTGGAACCTATTAAAAAATGTAAAAAAAAATTTTTTTTAAATGTTCAACTTGAAGTATTTTTGCAGAAATGCAAAGTGCATCTGGATATTGGACTTGATTAGAAGTCATGGAGAGGAATTATAGCCACAGCCAAAACTTTCCCCAGAAGAAATACTGACAACTTTTTGTTCAGGGTCTAATTTACTTAAGTATTATTTATTTCTCCTAGTTTAAAATATAAGAAATTTGTGGTGTCTTTTGGTAATTTTTTTATTGTTTAGTCATTTTGCTGATTATCAGCACGACAGAATCACAGATTTCAGAGGATTCCAGAGCTGAAAGGTGCTTAATTTAAGCATCGTTTAGTCTTCCCACCACCAGATATTTGAATCACCATCCTACATCACTGGCAGGTATTCATGCCATCTCTACCAAAGCAGCTCTAGTGACAGGAGCTCATTCACTCCAACGTGCTTGTTCCATGTTTGGATCTCTCAGACCATTCAATAGCTTTTAAGAATATTGGCCTAAAATTTGTCTTCTTGCTATTTCTATTCATTGGTTCTAACTCTGAGTCATACAGAATAAACAGATGAGAAGCATCAAAGTAGAACAAAGCTGTGGGTGTAAAGCAAAAAAATTAGGTAGGAAGTAGGAAGATACAAGTAGGAAAATAACAAAGCACATAGACAGTTTTGTGAGCCATACCTTTAGAAACTATAAATAATTTAGGGAGAGTTTAAAAGTAATGAACAGAAAATAAGTGGATTTAAAAAGGAATCCTTATCAAGAAGTCCCTAAAGAAAAAATTGTGCCAGAAGTTGGTACTGGAAAGAAGGCCTGTAGGACCTGAGGACTGGGAATGGAAAGGAGTCATGCTTTTCATTTTACATCCCTTCTTACTATTTTAATTCCTTGCCTTTAATCAAAGACAAAAAGATCCAAGCCTATCAATACATGTACTTCTCTACTACCTGTACCCACTGCTTTTTACTCCCTACATGGCTGTCATATTTTAGCCTGTAAGTGTCAACTTAAATTGTCACCTCCACAGAGAGACATGCATTCATGACCACCTTTTTAAAGTGGGTTTGTGTCTCCACACTATTTCCTGTAATATTACTCAGTTAATTTCCTTCATATCACTTCAGGATCTATAATTATGTATATTTATTGTTTACTCATTGTCTGCTCCTCTACTAGATGCTAACTCCCTGAGGATTTGTTTACCTCTTTATACCTAGATCCTAGTACAATATCTGGCATATGGTAGTGAATAATAAATGTTTTTTAATGAATGAATTTAATACAGAAGATTGAAGTTTAGTTTTACATAGGAAGATAAATCAAGGTATCTATATACAGTGAGACCAGAATAGGGAAAGGAGATTAAAAGTTAAGTAAAGTTGTATTTAGAAAAAATTTACAGACTGCTAGGTAATAGAAAACTAAGCATAAGACCCAATTTTAAAGAAAATTATTGCTTATCTAATTTGGAATATAAGAATTGGTGTTTTGTCTAAAGGAAAGGAGCTACACTAAATTTTCCATGAGTCTAAGAAACAGCATAATTTTTTTGGTAATAAATATGATAGACTTTAATCATATTCCCCAAAGAATCACTATTGATCTAAATTAGAATGGTTTGTTTCTCTTATTTGCCATATTTTACAAATAATTAATTTTGATTTTTAGTTTTGTTTCATCACCTGAGAAGCCAGATATTTACTTATCAAATTCTCCTGTGTTCAAGTTTGATGCATCTTCCTTGAAAAAATTACCTCAACAAGCTGGAAATGCAAATATTGTAAGAAGCACTTCATTGTTTTTCTTTTAAATTCTGTCTGAATAGTTAAACTTTCAATGATTGCCTTTTTTTTTCTGTTAACCTCAAAATATAGGTACATTTACAAGAAAGAAAACAACAAAGTCTGTCACCAGAAATTGAAAAGTTGTGCTTTACTCACTCTGAAAAAATACCAAATTCTTCACATTTTGTTAAGAAAGTGGATTTCTTTATTAGAAACAGTGAATGTAAAGAGGAAATTGATTTCAGGTAAGAATTCTTTAAAAACATTTCAAGACTATAACAATAAGAACTTTCTATGAAGAAATTCAGCATTCTTTTTTTCCTTGGTTTATTTTGTTTTGTTTTGTTTCATTTTATTTTATTTTTTATAGGGATAGAGAATGAGAGAGAGTAGAGGGGAGGGGCAGAGGTAGAGGAAGAGAGAGAATCTCAAGCATGCTTTCTGCGCAGCTTGGAGCCCAGTGCGGGGCTCCATCTCATGACCCTAAGATCATGACCTGAGTCGAAATCAAGAGTGAGCCACCCAGGCATCCGTTTCCTTGGTTTATTTTAAAGATCAGAATCTAAGCATTTTATTTACTTAAAAACATTGACTATTTAGACCCCTGGTGACCTAAACTCCTTAAGAGAATTCATAATATTAAGTATCTCAATTTTTGAGAACATATGTTTAGTATTTTTAATTAAAACATACTGTATTGGTAAACTTTGTTTCACTGATTTGAATACAACATATTGATAATATAAAGTGTAAAATGACTTAAATACAAATGAGATTGGCTAATTTTTCAGACGTTCAGTTGTATTTTAGCCAACCAGTTCTTTTACAATTCTACAGGTTCAGTGAAAAGTCAGATTAAGTCTACTCAGTTCCCCCTCAGCTGGTCACTTCTAGGGATAACTGTAGCAGTTTTTCTCTCCCGTTTGAAGAGTCAAAGTTTATAGACTTGTTCACACACTGATTAAATGACATTACTTTTTAAAAACTTTAAGGAATTACCCAAGAGACTGGATCCCTACTTCTCACAGTTTATGAAGTCTGATTTCCACCCCCCCAGACTTCTTACTAGGTTATAGCATATTGAAGTTCATTTGATACATTAGCCTCTCAGCAATCTATATATATTTCTATATTTGCTTTTTCCCCCAGTAGGTATCATCCTGATGATGAAGCTGATGAAATGAAATCTTTTCTGGGAATATTTGATGGTATTTTCTAAAGCAAACCAAAAAAATTCATCTCATATTAATAAGGCAAGGTATATATGCAGCCAATTACAAAGCATGCATTTTCTTTAAAAAAAAGTAGTTCATAATTGTTCAAATTTTTTTTCTCTTGGATTTGATCAATTTTGTTGACTTATTTGCACCAATTTTTTGGATTGATTTATTTTCCTATTGTAACTTCATGAAAAGCACTTTTACAGTGGGTTTGTTTCAATAAGCTGAAAATTAAGTTGCATTTAGAAATTATTTGGTTATTAAATGCATCTCGATTGGATTTTGACAGGAACCAATAAAAATACCATTTTTGTATTAAGAAGAAAGGTATTCTATGAAAGCAAATAACGCTAGGTCAGTGAATCAATTTATTATATGGATTATTCACCAATATTGTTTTGTTTTACTAAAGATTTTTAAGAATCCAGTGGCTGTCAGAACCTGTTGTTTTATAACTTCAAATAATAATAAATGAAACATTAATCAATATAGATTATTGTTCTCCTTTGGCCTGTTTTCCAGTGTGGTGAATTCTAAAACCTTGTTACATTGACTTTTACTATGGCAAACACTATTTCATGTTATTTTCCCATGAATTTGTTCTCAAATTTATTTATATTTATTGATAAGTAGTATATAAGCAGTCTAAGCAGTGTTTATTATTTAATTTATTTATAGATACATGTGTAGTTGAAGCCCACTTAAGAAATTTTAGGAATTTTTCTTTAAGCATAAAAGCTTTAGAGACAAGAGAAGTAAAGAAGAGAAACTTCTAGGTAAGATTGTCATTGTTGTCATTGGTAAACATTTATGAAGCATCATACATATTAAGCATGGAGAAAAAGCTTAAACTAAGAAGCTTTATTATGTGTTGAAAAATAAGGGCAACCAGTTCCTTTATTTTAGTCATCTTTACAATTGGCATGTTTCTGCATCTGAATCAATCATGCTACAACCTTTAAAGGTTATTAAACACCATTAAAATGAAAAATCGGTACACTACAATCTGCTCATCTTGCATACATAAACTTTGATACTAAAGAAATAGCAATTTAATTCAGCAAGACTTATTATGATCTGCTAAGCAAAAAGCACTGTGCTTGGTACTGCGAAGGAGGCAAATGATAAAAACAGTTTTTCCTGTCATGGAGCCTATGTTACATTCTGGTAGAGAAACTAGGACATATAATAATGCAATAATAAAATATAGAATACATTAGAGAAGTGGTTCTCAAGCTTCAGGATACATTGCAGTCATCTAGTGGGCTTGTTTGAAAACAGATTGCTGGGCACCATATCCAGGGTTTCTAACTTGGTAGGTCTGGGGTGGGGCCTGAGAATGTGCATTTCTAACAAGTACCCAAGTAATGCTGATATTGCTGGCCCAGGGATCACGCCTTGAGAATCACTGCAATAGAGGTTTAAAGAGCTCTGGGAGTTCATAGGAGAGAGAACATAATCCTGACCATGGAGTCAGGAAAGCCTTTATAGTGAAGTTAAAACTTGAGCTGAACCTTGAAAGATGAATACAATTTTGATGAACAAATATATGAGAGAAGGACATTCTAGCAGAGGGAAGAGCTTGAGCCAAGCTCCAAAGGAGGAAAGTATCTATTTGGGGAATAATGAATAGATAATTTTAAACATAGGTTAATGTTATAGGAGATGTTTGTATTTTTTTGTTTGTTTTTATTATTTTATTTATTTGAGAGAGAGAGAGCACAAGCAGGGGGCAGGGAGGGGCAAAGGGAGAAGGAGAAGCAGACTCCCCACTGAGCAGGGAGCCTGACACAGGGCTTGATCCAGGACCCTGAGATCAGGACATGAGCTGAAAGCAGACGCTTAGCCAACTGAGGCTTGATCCAGGACCCTGAGTCCAGGACCTGAGCTGAAAGCAGACACTTAGCCAATTGAGCCACCCAGGTGACCCTATAGGAGATGTTTGAAATGTACCTTAAGGCCAGACTATGGAGGACTTTAGATGCTAAGAAACCTGAGCTTTATTTGGCAGACAAATGTTTCCCAAACTTGCCTGATCATAAGAAACATGTGGAAAATATATTAAATATAAAAATTCCTAGGCCTTACCTAAGGGCTACTGATTCAGAATTGCCAAGCAGAGGGGAGTGGGAATTCTATAGTTCTAACAAGATTCCGGGGTACTCTTTATCAGGCCAATTTTGGAAACACATGAGTAGGTTCATTTACTAAGTAATCAAAAAAAAAAAAGGCAAATGAACAGTTTTATCATAGACATGCCTTACTTTGTGTTTACCTGGAAAATTATGTGTAGAAGTCCTTGAGAAGTGGACTGACCACTTAAAGGAGTCCAGTCATTGGATATTCTTTCCATGAGTGAATAACCCTACAGTTTCCATTTTGTAACTAAAGTTTTAAATGTATTTAAGTGAACCATACAACAAAGCTTTTCACAGAAATCTTTGTTAGGTTCAATTTTTTTGACAGGTTTTGTTTTTTTTTTCTTTTCAATTAAAAAGGACCCTAATAGGGCTCCTGGGTGGCTCTCTCTGCCTCTCCCCCTGCTTATGCTCTCTCTCTCTCAAATGAATAAATAAAATCTTTAAAATAAAATAAAAGGTCCTTAATAGACTTTATTTTCCCCACCTCTAATGTTGGCATAATGGCACTTACCTCATAGGTATGGAGTGAGAATTGAATAAGCCACTGCATAGTAAGCTCTTAGTTTAGGGACTGGTGCATAATATGTGCTCATAAATGGTAGTTGTTCATACTAAAAAAAAAAAACCCTATCGTTAGCAGTACTTTAACCCATTGGAAGGTGTTAAATAATACAGTACAGACTGTCCCCAACTTACAGTGTTTGGACTTAAAGTTTTTCAACTTTACGATGATGTGAAAGTGATATGCATTCAGTGGAAACCATACTTGGATTGTGAATTTTTATCTTTCCCAGGCTAGTGATATGCATAGGTTACTCTGTTGCAATGCTGGGCAGCAGCAGGGAGCTGCTCCTACCAGTCAGCCGGACCACAAGGGTGGACAACCCATACACTGACAATCATTCTGTACGCCTACAACCAATCTATTTTTTACTTTCAGTACAGTATTCAATAAAGTACATGAAATATTCAATACTTTATTATAAAATAGGCTTTGTGTGACATGATTTTGCCCAACTGTAAGCTAATGTAATTGTTGGGAGCATGTTTAAGGTAGGCTAGGCTAAGCTATGATGTTCAGTAGGTTGTGTTTATTAAATGCATTTTTGGCTTAATGGTATTTTCAACTTAGAATGGGTTTATTAGGATATAACCTCATCATAAGTGTAAGTCAAGGAAAATCTTTCCTTGCAAATCATATTTGAATTGCAGTAAGTTGCATAGGACTTGACAAATATTCGACTTTCCATAGATGTATCATCCATAGAAAAAATTTTCTCTTAGACCTCCCTCCTACATATACTTCCTCATGCTTTCAGGTAGATTGCTCTATCTCTGTCCCCTCTTCATCAGCACTCTTAGTTGTTTTATGGTTGGAGCATATCAATCTATTTTAATATTACCTTAAGTAAATGTAATTAGAAAATAAATCTTTTACAAATTGTATTATAATGCATTCTAAAGCCAAATAGAAATGACTGATGAATTATTCACTCTTTTAGGTTTTAGCACAGTTTACTCCTTGGATCCTTAGTAAAGTCACACAAAGTATCTCTTTATCATGACCCCATTTCTAGAAAACACCCTCATCAAGGATAGTAGGGAACCACTCCTTGAGGACCCATAGCCTAGGAATTATATGGCTAACACTTACCTGTGGCATCTTAGATTGTAATAGGTGTCTATATTTAAGAACTACTTTTGTGGGAATAGAGAAGACACCAGTGAAGAGAAAGTTAGGGCAAAGAGAAGTAAACCAAGCTAAGCTTAGAATTAAGTAAGCTAAGAATTTCATTGTGGGTTTTGGTTAGTGGAACAAACAAAACAAAAAGAAAGGAAAACCCTGGCTCTTATTATATTTTAGCATGTCAATTCCTGGCTGCCAGGAGTTAAAGGCCTTGCCACAAGAAACTCCTTGGAGCTGGGGTTAGAAGTTCTTAGGCCTCACTCCAGAACTTTTCTTTCTTTCTTTCTTTCTTTTTTTCTTTCTTTCTTTCTTTCTTTCTTTCTTTCTTTCTTTCTTTCTTTCTTTCTTTCTTTCTTTCTTTCTTTCTTTCTTTTTTTCTTTCTTCCTTCCTTCCTTCCTTCCTTCCTTCCTTCCTTCCTTCCTTCCTTCCTTTCTTTCCTTTTCTTTTCTTTCTTTCTTTCTTTCTTTCTTTTTTTATTATGTTATGTTAGTCACCATACAATCATTAGTTTTTGATGTAGTGATCCACGGTTCATTGTTTTCGTATAACACCCAGGGCTCCATGCAGTACGTGCCTTCCTTAATACCCATCACCAGGCTAACCCATTCCCCCACCCCTCTCCCCTCTAAAACCCTCAGTTTGTTCCTCAGGGTCCATAGTTTCTCATGGTTCATCTCTCCCTCCGATTTCCCCCCTTCATTTTTCCCTTCCTTCTCCTAATGTCCTTCATTGCTATTCCTTATGTTCCACAAATAAGTGAAACCATATGATAATTGACCTTCTCTGCTTGACTTACTTCACTTAGCATAATCTCCTGCAGTCCCATCCATATTTGCAAATGACACTACAGATAAAAGGCTGGTATCCAAAATCTATAAAGAACTTCTCAAACTCAACACCCAAAAAACAAATAAGTCAAAAAATGGGCAGAAGATTTGAACGGACACTTCTCCAAAGAAGACATACAAATGGCTAACAGACACATGAAAAAATGTTCACTCCAGAACTTCTGAGTCATAATCTGCATTTTATCAAGATCCCCGGCTGATTACATGCATGTTAAAGAGTGAGAAGCACTTTTTTTAAGGTGGAAAGGGAAGGAAAGGAAGCAATATCAGAATCCATTCCAGAAGACAAGTATAAGAGTAATGATGATTACTTGGTTTTCTGCACATATATTTCCTATTTTAAGTGTAATATGGTGATATTGCTCTTGTTTAATTGCCTTTCAGTATAGGTTGTTTTCTTCACCAACTGTGTAAATTATCTTTATAATTCCCATGCATCAACTGGGTATTTTTTTTATGTAGCTTGAGAGGCACTTAGATGCTGTATAGAGTTTTGTTTTAATTAACATAATAAAAGCCGATAATTCAAAAGAGCAATCTTTATCTTGCTTGTTTTTACATTTTAATTCGGAAACCTTTCCCTAAACTAATATATGCCTTAAAACTCTATACATACAAAACAAAACAAAGCAAAACAGAATGAAACAAAAAAACCCAAACCCCATAGTATACTGAAAAATTTAGAAAAATGTGCATAAGCCTGCACTCACATATGTTGTAACTATAACAATGAAAATTCAGCCAACATTAGCATTTTGCCCACTGAAGCACATCCTTACGACAGTATGTGGCTTCAATCCTTTAGAAAATGCACACACGATAAAGTCATCATTTTGGGTTTGGTTTGTTTCTGTATTGATTAGTTTGGCGACATAAACTTCTTACCATTTAGAACTTAAAATTTTTTTTAATCTAAACAAATTTTACTACAATATTTTTTTAACTTCAAGTTTATTAAAACTTTAGCAGTACAAATTTTTCAGGTTACAAGTTATCAAAAGATCAACTAAGTGAAGTTCATATTAACAACAAAAAAAGGACAAACATAAAACAACCCAAAAACAATGAAAAGAGGAAAACAACATAAAGGAGATTCATCAGTAAGTTTCTACAATTTAAAATTTAAGACAAAATGGAAATGAACTTTCCACAACTCACTCATCTACTTTGTCTTCATTTTTTCTAGGGCTGGACTCATAATCAAATTTTTTTTATGACCAAAGTTTTAAATTTTTATCATGTACATGGTCATTTTCTTGTCCCTTTGATTTTTGGTTTTTCTTTTCCACTGAAGATGTGGACTTCTCATGCTCCATATTTTTCAATGTGGAGAACTTTAATTCATTGTCCTACTTTGTTTTCATTTTGAGAATGGACTTTAATCTCTATCATCCTTTCCCCCCTGTTATTATTTGACCTCTTATGATCATGTTTTTAATCATATATTTTTTTTTAAAAAAAAGATTTTATTTATTTGACAGAGACACAGCGAGAGAGGGAACACAAGCAGGGGGAGTGGGAGAGGGAGAAGCAGGCTTCCCGCTGAGCGGGGAGCCCGATGCGGGGCTCGACCCCAGGACCCTGGGATCATGACCTGAGCCGAAGGCAGACGCTTAACCGACTGAGCCACCCAGGCGCCCCAATCATATATTCTTTTCTGACCTTCAGCATTTTCTTTCCAGGGTGAACTTTCTTGATTTCCCTATTTTTCATTGTGTCTGCTTTGACTTTCTTCTCTCCTCCTTCCCCTCCTACCTTTGTTTCTTGATGTTGCTTTTCTCTGTCCCCTTTCTGGCTTTCCCCTCTGTACTCCTGTTCTTGCTATCCATGGTACTCCTTGCTTCTCTGCCAGTTCTGTCATGGCTTCTAGATCACATCCTTCTGCTCCTGCCCTTAAGTTGGCTTCTTTCTCTTGTTCTACCATTGTAACTGCCTTTTTTTTTTTTTTCATTTTTGGAAGCTTTATTTTATAGTCTCACCCCATATACCAGTTTTCCCCCTGAGAACCACAAGCACTTTAAAAATATCATATAAATATTTCTTATAGTATCCCTTTGATATTGGGGCAGATAAAAGAACCTCAGTTTATGGGTGACAAAACTGAGGTGATACTCCAGGTCACATGTTTCTTAAACTATTGAGAAGTGGCATCTGGTTTACAAGTCTTCTTGTAGCTGACAGAATTAATTTTTGTTGAAAAAATGGGACCATTTTACCATATTTCAACCTCCCCTCAACTATGGATAAAGAGAGAAGAAAGGCTCTTTTTTTTTCTTTTTCAGAATCCTGCTGGGCACCTTATCTCCTATGAATTTGTCTGTGAGCCCAATTTCTTCTAGATGAGAGTGAGGTACTGGGATGGTGGCTGAGGCTGCTGGATGAGTAAGGACAGACGAGTAACTGTTGATGAGTGAGGACCATTGTAACTGCCTTGGGTTGTATTTCCCTTCTACGTTGTGCATCTGTTCTTTTACTTACTTTTATTATGATCGTGCTCATGCTCTTTGATTCTATTTAAACTTCTCTTTAATTTTACCCCTTTCCTGATCTTTTCCTTTAGACTCAGACTTTTTCTTTAATATTCTTATGATCCCTTTCTCTACTCCTTGACCCCCATCTTCTTTATTCCATTATGCTTTGTATTATGTTTATTTTTGTATTATGCTTTTCTTAACTCTTTGACTTCTTTTTGCTCTTACTCCCACTTTTAGATTTGGCCCCTTTCTTCACCTTGTTTTTATTATATTTATCATCTTTTTTCTGAATTTCTTCTAATGTCTCTCTCTTTACTGTTAGATTAATGGTCTTTAGCTTTCTTTTCCTCTTCACTTTTTCTGTTTGGACTCTTGGACAAATGCCTATGATCAGTTATAGTTTTCTCTTTTACTCTAGCTGGACTTCTTTGATTTTCTTTTGTTTCAGTTTCTTTTGTTTAACTCACTCTTTTTTTTTTTAAAGATTTTATTTATTTATTTGACAGAGAGAGACACAGTGAGAGAGGGAACACAAGCAGGGGTAGGGGCAGAGGGAGAAGCAGGCTTCCCGCCCAGCAGGGAGCCCAGTGCAGGGCTCCATGTGGGGCTTGATCCCAGGACCTGAGCCAAAGGCAGATACTTAACAACTGAGCCACCCAGGTGCCCCTGTTTAACTCACTCTTAAGCTCCTTTGTTCTATCTTTCACCACTGGATACCCTCATTCTTTGGGCTTTCTGAATCTCTTGCCTCCAATGTGAAGCAGTCTTACTATGTCTGAAATGTCCCTTGATCTGAACCTGGAGGGAGTTCGATAGTCCTTGGTCCTATTCCTTTAATTTCTTTGCTAGACCTACTAACTTAAAGTCTCCTCTGATATGAAGCAGGCTGGAAGTTAGGTAGATCTCTCTCTCTATCTCTCTCTCTCTGTTTTTCCTTTCTTTTTCACCAGCTTTAGGAGCACTTTTTCTAATTAGGAATCTATTTTCAGGAATAGGAGGGAACTCTTCTGGATGGACAATACACTGGTGTTATGCTTTAAGATTTTCAAGCTCACTTTCACTAAATGTGCTTTTCTTGCTTTTCTTTCGTGTGTGTGTCTGTGGGGGGGGAGGATTTTTTCCTATGTTTCTTTTTTCTTTTTAAAATTTCTCTTCAGGGGCTCCTTGGTGGCTTAGTTGGTTAAGCATCAGACTTGGTTTCGGCTCAGGTCATGATCTCGGGGTTGTGGGTTGGAGCCCCATGTAGGGCTCTATGCTCAGTGCAGAGTTGGCTTAAGATTCTCTCTATCCCTCTCCCTCTGCCCCTCCCCCAACCTGCGCTTGCTCATGCTGTCTCTCATTAAAATAAATAAAATCTTTAAAAAGAATCTAAAAATAAGATAAAATAAAATAAAATTTCCCTTCAGAAGTACTTTCAGAATCAGAATAGGACTGAGAATCTCTTGAGCTGTATGAGTCACTGGATGAGGAGGTGGAGGAGGATTTATGCCTTCTCTTCTTTCTTAGCTCTAGTTTGGGAGTTAGCTCTCCACAACTGAGTATCTATCTCAGCAAATGGTTTGCTCACTGCATCTGTTTTCTGGTTTTCTTTCTCCCACAACTTCCTGAAAAGAATTCACTTCCCGCAAAACAACATGATACCCATCTAAATGAGAAGTTGGGTTTTGTGGTTTTGAAGAACTATGAACCTTTTGTATCCTTCCCCCTGTCACTAATAAGAGAGATTCTCTGTTATGTTTAACAGAGAAACTCTCATCTTCAAAATATCCTCCATTAATAGATTCCCCTTCTCCTTCATTTTCTTCACTGAAGTCACCATCTGAAAATCTTTGACAATGTTGCAAAACTGAAAACTCTTATTATATAATGGCTTCTGAGTTAATTTCCCTGACCCCTTTTCACCTGTAAAAGACAAAAAAATTTATCCCATGTTTGGGGGAACACATCAGAAAAAATTCAAAGACAACTCTTCCAGCAGGTTGATTATTAATGGCAATGTCAAAAAAAACCCCCCACAAAACAGCGAGTATGCTGAATCTTTGTTCCAATGGCTCCAATACTTCAGTCTTTAAATAGAGAACAATCAAGGATAAGTTGGTTCAATCAAGGGCAACTGATCTAATCCTTTCACTCCTGCACAGGTAGGTATACTCTCTTCTTCCTGGGGTACTGTCCTTTAAAGTGCTTCAGATCTACAGCTGCCCAGAAAAGGTACTGAAGCCTATGACCACAGTCATTTTCACTGACTAATTCACTACAAAAGTTTTATTTTACTTTAAAAATTACTTTAATTTTTTTCTTTCCATTATTATCTGATGCATTTTTATAAGGGAAATAACTGAGTGGTACAATAAAAAATAATAAAGGAAATAATTGAATGGTACAATAAAAAAACCCTTAGATTCTAATTCAAAATTTCAACTTACAGAACTGGAAAACAGCCTACCAAAATACTAAATTATTTGCCCAGAGTTTCTCAATTAATCCTTGGTAGAACTAGAACTGAACCCAGATTGGCACCATTCTTTTCCTAGTTTAGTTCCTAATATTAAGGGTTATAACTCATGCCCATTTTTGTAATCTTTCTTTCATCATAAATGTAAAATGTACTTCGCTCTCTTCTTCCTTAAATGTATTAAGGAATTCTTTTCTAGCTATAAACCAAAATAGTTCAATTCTTTTTTTTTTTTAAAGATTTTATTTATTTATTTGAGAGAGAGAGAATGAGAGAGAGAGAACACATGAGAGGGGATAGGGTCAGAGGACAAAGCAGACTCCCTGCCGAGCAGGGAGCCCGATGCGGGACTCGATCCCGGGACTCCAGGATCATGACCTGAGCCAAAGGCAGTCGCTTAACCAACTGAGCCACCCAGGTGCCCCCAAATAGTTCAATTCTAAACACAATTTTACCCATAGCTGCTGCTGTACTTAACAGTTTTGAAATACTGTGCACGTAAGTATTGTAGTTTATGGTGTATGTAGATTAGAATGGTCTTGCTATGCATCAGTGTTTGAAATGACCAAATATCTTACTGTTCTTTCATTGAATATAGTGATTGAACAGCTGTTTTATACTACTTCTTATGTCATGAACTAGTCTTAGAAAGATGAATATGAGCAGGTCATGTTTCAAGGGACCCATCAGTGGTCCAGGTAACAATGATCACAATGCAACAAAAATATAGGACTTTTAAAGTTATCAAAGGTTTTTTGTTTTTTGTTTGTTTTTTAAGTAGGCTCCACACCCAGCGTGGAGAACAAGGCAAGGCTTGAGCTCATGACACTGAGATCAAGACCTGAGCTGAGATCAAGAGTCGGATGCCTAACTGACTGAGACACCCTGGCACCCCAAGGTTTTTAAAAAATTAATAATCATCACCATCAAATTATATTATCAGCAAGTTTTTCTAGACTCTATGTAAGATTTGTAGTGTCTGGACTTCTTAAGGAGGTAACATGCATACATAGTCAAATTTATGAAAAGGAAAGCTACACATTCTTTTGGGTAGTGGATTATTAAAAGAATGAAGTTAGAGGATGGAGTAAATTTGGAGAAGAGCAAAAGGTCACAGAGGTAACATATTGGCAGATTCTGGAAGGAGAAAACAAGGGGATAAAGGAACTAAAGAAATGAGTCATCCACATCTAGCAGACTGGAGTTAGGATCATTTACATGCATATAAGGTATGTAATTAATATTTACAATTTGGGCTGAAAGGAAATTACAAAATCAAGCACTTATCAACAGTGTATAAAATAATAATGTTTCTAACTAAAGAAAAATATTTTAGTTGGAAGACTTTTTTATTCATTATGGAAAGTTAAAGTATTTAAAATGTAGTTTTAGATGGAAACGATAAAACATACATCCCTCCCTACTTTGATGTATTTTTTAGGTATTAACCAATGTTGTTGGTTGTTTTTCTTTTTTTTCCTGTTGCCTCCTTCATTGAGGCAGCTAGACTATGAAGTAGACGTTCCTCAAGGAAGGGTTATCAAATCCTTGATTTTTAACATCTCAGATCTAAGATCCAGACTTGAGACAAAAGAATTGGAAAAATACCTGATGGATCAAAACCTGTTTTTCCTGTCCTCAAGACTGAAGATTCTCTAGACTTGGGGAAAAGGAGAGAAGTCAGAGGAAAAGAAAAGAGCTCAGATGCTGGGTACCTGAGAAAAAACCTGGGCTCAGCTTTCTCTTGGATTTATTCTGAAGTCGAGTGTGGTAAGGTTTAGGAAAAAAGAGAACACTCCTCTCTGCATAATTTTAGAAATTCGAGAGCAGAAAGAATGTCACTTTTCCAGTGTACTTTGAGAAGGTGGCAAGACTCCAGAATTCTCCCCACTCCCCCATGCCAATGGCACAGGAGCAATAGGGTCGAGATAGTGGTGTGGTAAGTTAGAGCTAAAAAGGGAGACTGAGGTAGCCTCCGTGCCCCCAGGAGAGCATGCAGAGTAGCAGAAGCATTTCCCATGAGTCAGAGGCTACTATAGGGATGAGGCAGGGCCGTTTGGTGCCCCATTCTTTCTCTCAATCTCCCAAAAGTCACAGAAACTAGTGTCCAACACAAGGAGGATGCAGCTGTAAACTTCATGGACTGCCAGTCAGGACCAGGAGGTGTGCTTCACCAGATAGTAGCATAGAGATGATGACAACTGACAACAGGTAATAGTCCCCCGGAACATACATTCAATCCCAGTATAAGGGGAGGGGAAACTGCATTGACTGAGATTGTTTTCCCAACATCTAGTGCAATGGGGGCTTGAAATAGAAATTAAAACATCTCTTGCATACTTGAGCTTATTAACTGAAACTTGGACCCAAAATATTATCAATAGTGATAGATTTGTGAAAGAAGCCTCATTTCCTAATATTATTAGTAAGAACTAACATCTTCAGATTGATCTATTAAAAATCATACAACATACTAACATTAACTGGTGTAGAAACTCAGATCTGGATCTCAGTCATCAGATAAATGCTCAAATGGTAAACATACCTCCTTTTAAAAAAGAAATTCCTATCATATCTACTACCAGTACTAGCCAACATTACTGAATATGTACTATATGCTGGACCTTGCCCTATGACTTGTGGCATATTCAATCCCTTCAATAGTCCGATGAGGTAAATACTCCCATTATGTACATAGATTTTATACATGAGGAAGTTAAATAAATTGCCAAAGGTTACAAAGCTTGAACTTTATGTGATTGGAGAACCCTTTGCATAATCATTAAATCATTCTGTCTAGACTGAAATACTGAAATACTACATCTTTAAAGTTACATCAAATCATCAAAATCCATGTTTTCCCCTAATCTTTAGAGTTTTTCTGTTGGAGAATTTAAGGCAAATTCAAGAGGGCTCTTAGCCAAGATACATCCTCTGGTCTCTGTCTCCAGTTTAACTCTAGTTTCCAGAGAAGCAAGGCTACTATGACCTTTTCCATAGATTATCTGATCAAGGCTACTATGACCTTTTCCATAGATTATCTGATCAATCCATTCCATAGATTATCTGATCATTCCATAGATTATCTGATCATAGATTATCTGACCTTTTCCCTGTGCAGGTCCCCTATCAACATGAGTAGACATCTTTTCTTCCCGTTTGACTCTGAAACTTCAGGTCACTTTTTTTTGTTTTGTTTTGTTTTGTTTTAGTTTTCACACTTAAGCTTTTGTACTTTAATCTCCTTTTCTGACCTGCCTCCCCTAAAGGCTACTTATCTTCCCTAGCTCAATGACTTCATTCTGAAACCCAATATTTTGGAGAGAGAGAGAGAGGAAAAAAAGGAGGCCCTGCTTTTAACAAAATCCTCTTAATAAGGGCAACTTGGTTTCGTCTGCCAGCGCTGTGTTATAAAGCTTCTCTGCTGCTATCAGTGAAAACTAGCCTAAATAAGAAAGAGAAGAAACACAGTGATTTGTGACCTTTTCTGGGATCACAATACTTCAGTCATATCTGCTTGGAATATGACTCTCATCTTGGTATTTTTTCCCCATAATATAAGTTATATGTGATTTTTTTCACATCTCTCATCTAGGAATATATTGTTTTGAAGAAAAGTTTGAAAGTTAAACACAAACTTCTACTGAGAGTACTTGATATCTATCTTATAAAAAATATGACTGAATAAAGTTACCCTTGAGGTTCTATTTTTATCCTTAAATTAAAGTTTAAAGAAAGAAAAGGGATTAGCAGTTATTATTAGATTTTTATGTTAAAAATTATGAACTTTCAATATATAAATTTCAGGTTTTTCCCAATAGGCTTTATTACTTCTTCTGATTGTCTTTTCATTTTCCTGTGCTGTCCATCAACCAACTATTTCCTATCCTTTTGGGATTTTCCTCAATTTCTGTTTGCATTACAATGTCATATTTCTTTTATTTTAAATGATTTTAATTTCATTTTTAATATATAGTGAGAACACACTGTAATGAGTTCATTTCACTACTTTTCAGTTTCAAAATAACTTTGTCTTTTGAAATTTTTGCCTCCTAAAATAAGTGAAGCATTTCAGAGACTTCATAGAAAGAAATATTCTCTTTTCTCTTTAAATTTTCTGTATTTATAGAAAAGAGTTCCATGTGTCCAAGCACTTTTATAAAGTAGAGGTATTTAGTAAAATAGAATCGCCAGTGTAATAAATATTTCTCCACTGGGATATTTTTGTGGCAAAATTATGTAAAACAATTTATGGCTTCATGCTCTTATGTTAGAAGAAAGATTGTTTTCTTTCTTTCATCACAATAAAAAGAGCTTTGCTAGATTTTTTCTGATTATGAAAGCTCATGCTTATTTATAGTAGCTATATTATAAAAATTATTCAGCAGTTACATGCAATAGACTTGTACATGTAGCAACATAGATCTAAAACACAGAGTATTAGGTGGAAAATGTAAGAAACAGAATGTGATACCATCTAGGTAAATTTAAAATATCTGTATAAAAAAAAATTTTGTAGAACTACAAACAAAAGATTTACATCAAATGCATTAGCATAGTGGTCAGTAGGGGGTGGTTTGAGTGATCTAAGAAGGAAATGGGGGTAAAAGAAGAAATTTCAGATAATACAGAAGTACAAAGAATTTAAAATCACCCTCAATCCCATTACTTAGTAATAATGACAGTGCGTATTTTGGAGTATAGCCATCCAGATCTCTCTCTCTCTCTCTCTCTCTCTCTCTCTCTCTCACACACAGGCTTTAATGTGGGATTATAATCTGCTTTTTAATCTTATTTTCATTTAAGAGTATAATATAAATTGGTTGATATAAATCATTTTTAATGTATTATGTGCATGGATCTGCACAACTTATTTAATGACTACCCTACTGATGTATATTTAGATTTTTTCCAGTTTTTTTAATGACTAATGTTACAATTAGCATTCTTATACATATATCTTTATCTATTTGCCTTTCAGTAGAAATGCACATTTAAATTATTGAAACAAATTGTCAAATTGCCTTCCAGAAATGCCATTTTTACATTCTAATATGAAACTTTCTGATTCTCACAAGGTTTTAAAGCTTAAAACACTTGCAAAACAAACCAACAGGAGCACCTGGCTGGTGCAGTCAGTTAAGCCTCAGACACTTGGTTTCAGTTCAAGTCACCATCTCAGGGACATGAGATGGAGCACCGCAGGGGCTCTGCGCTCAGCACGGAGTTGGCTAGGAGTTTCTCTCTCCCTCTAACTCTGCCCCTCCGTGCTCTCTTCCCCTCTCCCTCTCAAATGAATAAATGAATCTTAAACATGCAAACAAACAAACAAAAACCAACAACCAGGAACAAAAGAATCTCCATATTCCAGGCCATTCAAATGTCCAGATCTCATCAATAGAATTAATTTACTCACAGAGTCCTTCCCCTGCAATGGGATCAAAGACTACAAACCATGTTAATGTCATTACACAGCTGACGATATAGCACTCGCTTGGTCTGACCTATATATCAGGGACTGAGTGAACTAGAGCAAGAGAAAGCAGAAAGGATGCAACTAGAACTACCCCTCATCCCATTTACATGGGTACTCTTACTGAGTATATCAGCTTTTTTGCACTTGTACAGGAATCAGAATCTTGAAGCTAAAAAAATTAAAGCCTTTAATTACTAATAGCTGGGATCTGTGTTCTAAGTAGTTGGGAATTGTCTATTTTTCAACCTCATTTCTAATGTGCCTTTTATTATTTTTGGAATGTTCTGACCTCGTTGGCAACAGTTGAATTCGTTTTCAAACTTGGCCTCCAAATCAGACAGCAATTCCAGCCTGGTGGGGTGGGTGAGCTGGGCTGTGGAGCCAGGCTGACTGGGGGCCTTGTCCAAACGCATGTGCAGCAGGGCCTTAGGCTAGTCACTAAACTTCTCTGTCTCTATTTCCTAAGTATTACACAGAGATAAAGATACTCACTGGGCTGTATCTCCAGGATCTAGAGCAAATATTTCAACAAATATTTGTTAGTTAAAGTAACAATTAGCAATTATGAATGTGAAATGTCTAGTACCTAGAAAATACTCATTAAGTGATAGCTATTGTCATATTAACATAAGCTATGGGGAGGATGTTGAAGGAGAGAAGCAGAAAGCAAAAAATTTCAGATAGTCCAGATCACCGGTAAGAGTCCAAGATTAGATGCTAGGGCCAGTGTGAGTTTGAAAATGTGGAAATTAATATTGACAGTTTGGAAGAAGAGAGGGAGTTGTTCTGAATTAGGCTCAGTGTTCAGGGTTACCAACTGCCTGTCCAAATGGAAACTACACATGTGGCTTTTTAACAATGTGTAAATGTGAATAATCAACTCATCAAGGTAAAGTCCTTAAGCTTTTTCTACCCAATATCATTCCTATACCCAAAGCCATACTGCAGAAAGAACTGATAAATGCATGTTTTCTTAATGCTACTGTGTGGCAGGAATTTAAGTTATAATCTCTTTTCAAGGCACGTCTTTATTAAAAGGGAATTATTCAAAGCCACCTGAGTGGCAATTACTACATAAAGGCTAATTGACCTAATTAATCTAATGTGGGTCAATGACTCTATACTACCCAAAGAACATTTTCAAATGAAAGGGGGAAAAAAAAAAGGAACTCCAAAAGGAATTTCTTTAAGTGAACATCTTTAAATATTGTGAGTCTGTTTTATTTCTTGCACACAGATATAATATTGCAGCATATTATATTGCTGGAGTGGCTGAGCTGGGATAAAAAGAGATAGACTAATTCTCTGAGGATCCTGGGGAATATTCTGTTCATCACTCAGGGGAAGGCACTATATAAATTACATTATAACAATACTGCCTCTTTCTGATAACATAGCACCAAAAGAGGAATTCAACATGACAAGAAGTCAAATTTACTATCATACTGTTTTGATTCTCTTGGTGATGTGATAAAGTGCATGCTGATACCTGCTTTTTATTTGATTAACTTCAGCTTCTTTGAATGCCAACTTGTTCCATTTGAAGTACTGACTGCCAAATATAAACTGGGACTGATAATATCTGGGCCCTATGACTGAGGAGAGAATGTATAATATACACCTGTGGTAGGCAAAATAAGGCCCCCAAAGATACTCATGTTTTAATCTCCCATATTTGTGAATGTGTCAAATTACATGGCAGAAGGGACCTTGAACATATGAAGTTAAGGGTCTTGGGATGGGGAGAATATCCTGGATCATCCAGGTGGGCCCCATGTACTCACAAGCTGTTCTGATAAATGAAGGAAGTAAGCAAGAGAGTCAGAGAAGGAGATGGAAGGATGGAAGCAAAGGCCAGAGAGACAGAAAGAAAGGGAGACAGATTTGAAGAAGCTACACTGCTAGCTTCAATGATGGGAAAAAGGGCCCAAGTCAAGGGATGCAGGCGGCTTCTGGAAAAGTCAAGGAAATGGATTCTCCCCTAGAGCCTCCAGAAGAGATGTAGCCCTGGATTTTAAAGTCAAACCACCTTGATTTTAGCCCAGTGACACTGATTTTTGGACTTCTGACCTCTAGACGTGTAAGTAATAAATTTGTGTTGTTTTAAGCCAGAGTTTGTGGTGATTTGTTATAGCAGCAAGGGAAACTAATGTGCCACCTTGGGGCTCATGGCACAGAGCTACACTGATGTCATTTTAGTTGAATTGAAATGACTTTCCCAAACTGCACCTATAATCCAAGACCGAGCTATGACGTAAACCAGGGAAGCACCACAGCAGAAGCTCTTCCTTTGCCTTTTATTCATCACAAGCTCACTTTGCTAGCTCCTTTATTCTGAGGCTTTTAGAGAAATGGAGAGTGAGTGAGGGGCTTCCTAAGTGTGAGAAGAAATCAATCCTGTCATGAGTTAATTCCCCTCTCCTAGGGTTTTAAACCCCAAAGATATTTTCTAAAAGGATATTTTCAACCATAAACAGTGTCTTTTAATCAACTTGGCCTCTGTTCTGTACTCAAAATTAAACAAGCATGAACCACTTAGAGGATGAGGAAAATGTCCACAAAGCCTTTAGAAAGTGGTTAAGTGTCTTCACTGGGAGTGCCTGGACAGGATATGCCATTGCGTTAATAGGGTAGAATGGGAAGGAGCTTAGAGCAGCTGATCAAAATCTTACATGGGGCGGAGAAATTCAAAAAATGGTACTATGAACAGCCACTGTGCTAAGGAGCACTTACATCCGTTACGTAACATTATCCTATTATCCCATGCTTACCATCCCTACTTTTAACGAGGAAAGTAAAGCTGAAGAAATGGCACCATCCCTACTCCAAGCCCAAGCTGTTAACCTCCACTCCACATCAGAACTTCCCTGCCTATCACTCAGAAAATTTTCTATATGACAAAGTCATGGCAGATTTGTTGTTTTCTTGATGTTCTGAGTGTGCCACCCCAGCAAATTCTTGAAATTGCAGGGAGAGTTTGCAAGAAGAAATGTGTATATCACATACGACACCAAGCCAAGTGCTATTGCCAAATGCAGTCAGAGAATGGGCAGGTTGTGTGGTGCAAGCTTGGCTTTCTCTAAAGCGCACAGTTCTGATGGGGCCAATGGAAACTGATGCCCGTTAACTGATGACATGATAGTGACTCCATTAGAAGAAAAGCAAACAATGAAAATAATAAGTGCACATTTGGATTCTGACCATTGCAATCAATGGTCCCAGTGAGGAAGAAAAGCTGGAGGAATCCAGTGAGGTAGCAAACTTTTAGTTGGATAGCAAGTTTTCTGACGGACATGGGTGAACGGTGAACGGGCTGACACATACCCAAGGTCTTGGAGTAACTCAAGTCTTAGAGGAAGACAAATGTCCAGAAACAGGTAAAAATGCTAAAGAAAATTAAAAATTTAGAGCACGGGGAGTTCTGGGAAGGAAAAAGCCCCAGCTTGAAAATACTGATGCTAAGTTAGCTTATAGTAGCAGTGAAGAAAAGAACTTCTCCACTCCTATTTTACTACCTTTTTTTTTTTCCCCTGGGAAAGAAGACTGGAAGATTGACTGGAAAGAATGGAATAAATGTTAGTAAAAAGGATTGGAGCCCCAGCTTGTCCCAGATTCCACATCTGAACCATTGCATCCCAAGGGAAGGTAATATAATAGATTAAGAAAATGGGTTTTGGAGTCAGATACACCTAGCATCTACTTTATTCTCCTGGCAAGTTACTTAACAGTAACAGTCCAAATTTCAGTTTCTTCCTCTGTAAAAATTGGGATAATAGTCTACCTCATAGGGCAAGGGAACAATTCAACATAAAGTACTTTAACCAGTACCTGGCACATAATACTCAATGCACAGTAGCTATTCTTGTATCATTACTATTTTTATAGACTAAATAGTTGAAATCACAACAGAAGTCTTTAAGAAATTATGAAGAAAGACCAAATATTGTGAATAAGTAATCAATAAACCTAGAACTAATTATATTAAAGATGGTTTTACCAGTTTCCAGTGTAAATAGTGATCGCTAGGAGTGGTGTAGGTTTGGTAAGGTCATGCCAACCTAAATGCATTTTCCTTTTCTAAAGGGGTATGTATATACTGGAAATCAGGGGGATTTTATAGACAAAGAGTATTGGGATTTCAGCCTCACCAAGAATCTCATGATACCCTTATGAAAGAACTATGTGCTGGCTGTTCCAGGTAGGAAGATTTTTAACTTGTTGAGTAATCCTAAGGGTGCTACTTAAGAAATTTCATAACCCCAGAGGAAGGTTTCTGGGACAAATAACTTAGAGGTTGGCCCCTCAGTCCTAAATTGTTCAGCATTTTCAATAATGACTTTTATGCTAATATCTGCAGCATACTGATCAGTGAAAGAATGCTAGGATTCAAAAATTCTCATATGGCCCAAACAACAGACTAAATATAGAACAGTATGGAATTTTGTGGATACAAAATTCTATTCTTTTACTTTAGTCAAATATCAAACTCTGTAAGCAGTGTATAGGGTACACGTCCAAGCAGCTTATTATTTTTTTAAAGGTTTTATTCAAGGGGAACCTGACTGGCTCAGTCAGTCGAGCATGCAACTCTTGTTCTTGGGGTTGTGAGTTTGAGCACCACGTTGGGTGTAGAGATTACTTAAAAATAAAATCTTAAAAATACATATATAAAGGTTTGGGGCACCTCAGTGGCTCAGTTGGCTAAGCATTTGCCTTCGGCTCAGGTCATGATCCCAGGGTTCTGGGATCAAGCCCCACATAGGGCTCCTCGCTCAGCGGGGAGTCTGCTTCTCCCTCTCCTGCTCCGCCTGCCTATGCTCTCTCTCTGCCTCTCTCTCTCTGTATCAAACAAATAAAATCTTTTTTTTAAATTAAAGCAGAATTTCAAAGAGATACTTGTTTATCCATGTTCATAGCAATATTACAATAGCCAAAAAATAAGAGCAACCCAGCTATCTATCAGTGGATGAATGAATTAAAAATGTCATATATACATACAATGGATTATTATTCAACCTTAAAGAGGAAGGAAATTCTGACACATGCTACAATGTGGATGAACCTTGAGGACATGATACTAGGTGAAATAAGCCAGACACAAAAGGACAAACACTGTGTGACTCCACACATGAGGCATCTAGAGTAGTCAAATTCATAGACACAAAAAAGTAAAACGATTATTTCCAGGGTCTGAAGGGATAGAGGGGAGTGGGGAGTTACTATCTGATGGGTACAAAGTTTCAGATTTGCAAGATGAAAAGAGTTCTGGAGATGGATGGTGGTGATGGTTGGTTGCACAGCAATACAAATATAGCCAACACTGAATTGTACTCTTTAAAAAAAAAAAAAGATTTTATTTAACCATTTGAAAGAGAGGGAGCACAGATCGGGGGGGAGGTGAAGGAACAGAGGGAGAGGGACAAGTGGACTCCCCACTGAGCAGGGAGCCCAATGCGGGACTCGCTCCCAGGACCCTGAGATCATCATCTGAGCTGAAGTCAGACATTTAGCAGACTGAGCTACCCAGGCGTCTCTGATTAGTACTCTTAAAAATGGTTTAGATGGGGGGCACCTGGGTGGCTCAGTTGGTTCAGTTGCTTAAGCATCTGACTTTTTGCTCTGTGCTGGGCTTGGAGCCTGCTTAACATTTTCTCTCTCCCTCTCTCTTGGCGCCCCCCACCACCACTCTATATTTTTCTCTTAAAAAAAAAAAGGTTAAGATGGTAATATATATATTTATCATATAATTATATATTATTATATATAATTTAATTATATTAAATGTATTTTATCACATTTTTTAAAAAAGTAAGCCAATATAAAATCTTAAATACATCAAGAGCAACCTCGTACGAAAAAGATGGAATCTATTTTTTTTTAAGATTTTATTTATTTATTTGACAGAGAGAGACACAGCGAGAGAGGGAACACAAGCAGGGGGAGTGGGAGAGGGAGAAGCAGGCTTCCCGCGGAGCAGGGAGCCCGATGCGGGGCTCGATCCCAGGACCCTGGGACCATGACCTAAGCTGAAGGCAGCTGCTTAATGACTGAGCCACCCAGATGCCCTTGTATTTTATATCTTTTAAAATGTTGATCCTCATAGTACTATTGTGAGATGGAGAGGACAGATAGCTCTATTTTTAAAATGAATGACACTGAGGCTTAGAGAGGGGAGCCCAGCTCTCCTGATGCAAGGGCCAGATATCTCCCCTTCCATCTCCTTCCTGGCCACACATTGCTCCTCGTGGCTGGATTCTGAGGGTGTGTGATTTCAGTTATCTGCACTAATATCGTGCTTGGATGTTGTTGCAGTTATAAACATCTCTGATAGGTTGATGTGGTAGGGATGTTTGTCTCTCTGCCAAGCTGGTGACAATTTAATGACAGTATTGTCAACCAGTGTCTTTGATGATTATACACATTTATCAGACAGTATAATCATCTCTACTATGCCAGTTGCTCACACACCAGAAATGAAGCTCCAGGAACAGTCTATTACTCTGACAAGGATAATAGGTCATTATTACCAAATCAGCAACACAGTGCTTTAAAAATAAATGACCCTGTTTCCCATCATTATTTATTTTTCATAAGTGCCTCAGGTTTGTCTTAGCATCTAACAGCAGGAGACAATTATTCCATAATAGTCTTCTTCTTCTTCTTTTTTTTTTTTCAGTATGTTTTAAATGATCTTCAATGGTAAGTTAAATGTGTCTGTTGACCCCAAAGTAGAAGCCTGGGTGGTTTTATAGGAGCGTTAAAAGAAAATGGGTGGATTCATACCATCTTCCTTTGTCATCCGATTCTGTTGAAAAAGAATGGCCAGCTAGGAAGATGGGAGTGGGGTGGGGGGAGGAGAGATGCTGTGTACTATTCACATGAATGAAGGTGTGTTTAATGTTGTCTTAATGCTGTTTGATTGGGCCATCAGAGCATACAAACAATCCCCAATCTTGCCCCTTCTCTATGTAGAGTGCTTTTGGGTTTTTTTTGTTTTGTTTTGTTTTGTTTTTTCCTTTAGGTAGGCTCCATGCTGGGCTCTCCAATGAGGGGCTTGAACTCACAACCCTGAGATCAAGACCTGATCAAGAGTCGAACAC